CAAAAGGTCAACAAATGCAGTCAAAGATCAATTTTGATAAATTAAAATAAATATCCTTCATTTTAATATACATTTATTGAGGAGGGAGATTAAAAAAAAACAAAAAACAAAAAACAAAAACCAACCAAACAGGAGGGGTAAGAGTGGATATGTTCTTACAGCTATTTTGAGGAGTAAATATGGGAGGCAAAATTAGGAGCGGCCCTTCACTTTCAGATAGACCTGAATACTTAAACGTATTTGTGATTATGGTTTTGCCATGTAGTTAACTGGAATGGTAATGGAAAAATAACTACTAGTAGCTAGGCAGAGAAATAACCCATGAGGAAGAAAGACATAGGCCAACGTTTTATTTAATTGAACTGTGTAATCCAAGGAGGTTCTACTAGAGGTGAGTCACTGAAGATACAAAGAAGTAGGTAGAAACTAAGAAACAGAGCAGACAATAGTTATCTTATCAAGAGACAGGGATTATACGGATAGAATTGGACAAGGTTTTTTTTTGTTTGTTTGTTTTGTTTTTGTTTTTAAAATCAGAATTCAGGGTCTGCCATATAGGTAGATCATGACATAGAAATATCGAGAGTTAAATGGATGCTCCGTGAGAATTTACCCTGGATTCTTGAGTTTGTGTGTAAGAATGGAGTCTTTGTTATTTTTTTTAGAGGTTGATGAAAAAAGTATGTGTTATAACTCAACTGGGGAAAAAAGAGTGTGTATTGGAGACAAGAACTTGCACAGTTAAATAACTCAATCTGTGGAAAAGAATATAGCTGCTGACGAGTGACTGAAGACACAGACGGTCAGCTGGAAGGATAGACCAAATGATTCACAAATGCTGGAAAATTCAGAAGGAAAAAGGAGAGAAAGGAAGGAAGAAAAGAAGGACAGAAGGGTGAACAAAGACAAAGAAAACAGATGAACAGACGAAAACTATGGTAGGGGTATATTGAGGCATAGTTATTATGGAGCTTTGATACTAGCTCATCAGTAGGGAAAAATGACATTCTTCGGGTAGGGTTGTATGATTTACATCTGTGATTATTGGGATGTGGGATAACAGAGGGACAAAGTTCAGGACATTATGTTTACTAGAAACTATAGGAAATCCTTGTCAGATTAAGTGATGCTTTGTGAAGAAAGAGGTAGAGACTCCCAAGTTTATCTTTTAATCGTTTTTACCCCACTTTTAGCATGCTGTCTTTAGTTTTTTAAAAAAGTAAGCCACAACTGATCCTTAGATTAGTTTCAAATCCACATTCTTTACCTCTGTTTCTCCACTAGACTTTGTCATGTTGCAAAGCCCATCAAGATCTACCTACTCACTGAAGGGTTTTCTTCTCTTGTGAGATGAGATACAATACTATTCATAAATCTGTAGAGATATGTGTGTTTTTTATTATTTACTATGGCCATGAGTGATTTCTTTCTTAACATGTAAGACAGCAGACATAGTGTCTTCACATTTAGAAAATGTGTACAAGATACATAGCATCAATGCTTTGTCCAATAAACATTAATTGATGTAGATGAGAGAGCACATGTCACTAACAAGAACCTCCTGCCTGATTCTGGGTCTTCAGAGGCCTGAAGATTTCTGTGAGCTGGAATGATGGCCCATTGTAATTCCTTCTGTTTAGGTTAAATGAAGAGATAGTTTTCTGTTTCTAAATTCCTGGTGAATTTAGCATGATATATGCATTACTTGTATTGAACAGGAAGGTTTACCAATTCAGAAAATTTAAAAATTATTTAAATTATAGACTGTATACTATACTACACAGTATTTGTGCATAATGAGCAATGTGGAATTTTAAAATAGATGAAAAGATGTCATTTCTGCTTTAAGAAGAATCAGTGTATTTGGGAAAAAGAAATGAAAATCCTTAAAATTGTTTATTTATTTATTTATTTTTAAAAAGATTTTATTTATTTATTTGACAGACAGAGGTCACAAGTAGGGAGAGAGGCGGGCAGAGAGAGAGGGGGAGGAAGGCTCCCTGCCCAGCAGAGAGCCCGATGTAGGGCTCGATCCCAGGACCCTGAGATCATGACCTGAGCCGAAGGCAGAGGCTTTAGCCCATTGAGCCACCCAGGCACCCCTAAAATTGTTTATTTTATGTTCACCTTCATTCATCAATAAATATTCATAAAATATCTACTAAATAGAAAGATCAAGAAAGCACCAGTATATTCTCTGGGAGCTTTTAATCTGATGGTTAAAGGCAACCACAGTATAAAGTAACTGTTTTTTCCCAGAAAGCCAAAGAATGCTGAAATGAAAATAACAAAAATATTGAGTACCAGAAAGTCCTTACCATGTGTCAGGGGCTATGTGATATATTTCAGGTGTGTTATCTCAATCCTTAGGACTCTGAGTTACAGGTACTCTTATGTCATCCCTTGCCCCACATACACTTTCCAGATGAATCCGCAGAGATCTATACATATTCATGAGTTACCCAGGGGTTCGCAGCTTAGCCAAGGCAGAGGTGGGCCTGTGAACTGAGAATCTGACCCCTGAGCCTGAGACATCAACCATTATACTCCACTGCCTCCTAGGGGATGGGAGAGAGAGATCACCTCTGACTGGGGAGGGGTCTACAATGGGTTTTTGGAAAGAGGTCCCTTGATCTAGGTCTTAAAAGATTGACTGGACTGTGCGGCAGGTGGAGCTAAGGAGAGGGAGAGTCTTTTTGGAACAGTTATGGGTGTGGGGAGAGGGAGCCAAGCTCAGGGTGGGTAACACAGGTCTTGGTGGGCTGTTGGGAATATGTTGCATTGGGAAGTAGGCCTGGGGGGGTGGCGGTTAGGGGGAGCTGGAGGGTCTGAAAAAGAGAGGAAGGCCAAAGGATCTTGTCTCAATTCTGTAGAGCTAAGTATAGAATAGAGTAAAAGATTTACAATAAAAATGGAAAGAATGGATATTAATAAGGCATTATCATTAGGAGAAGAGTTTTAATCAGCAAAATCTTAGAGGAGCTGGATATTAAACTAGGGTTTGAAACTGATGTAAATGGAGTAGAAAAGCATGCCAGCAATCTAGAATAATGTGATTCAAATAGGACACTAGAACATAAGGAAAGCTGATAAAAGTCCAATTTTTCATGTGTTCAAGGACCACTGAGGGACAAATTTGGTTAAGTGAGTCTCTACCTTTCACACCTTGAAGAAAGGGACTAATATTCCTCCCAAACATCTCCATCTGTTATGACTTATCATCTACTCAGCTGTTCAAGTGAAAAAAAAAAAAGACAGTTATTTATTTTATCCCTTTTCTTGTTTTTACTCTCAAATATATCTTGAATCTGCCCTTCTTGGATCCTTCCTTAGCCTTTGCGAGGTTTTGAAGTCTCAGTCAGATCGAGTCACTTCCTTGTCTGATATCCTCCAAAGGCTGTCTGTTGCATTTAGAACACATTCCAAGCTCCAAGTCCTTCAGATTTCCAGGCTTACTTTATTTTGCTTTTCATTATGCTTCAGGCTTCTTGCTTCCTTTCTGTTCCTTGGAATCACCAAGCTCGTTCTCACTCTAGGGCATTTTACTCTTTTTTGTTTTTCCTTTTGTTTTTGTTTTTTGACTGGCTCTTCTAACAGAATATCTCAATATCTCAGTAACTCAAATATCTTTTTTTTCAAATATCATTTTTTTTTCAAATGTCTTTGAGAGCCCTTCTCTGGACAACCAACCTGAAATGTTATGACCATGACTATTTTCTTCCCTCACTTGTTAAGAAGGTCATTATTTTCAAATTAGTCTTTGTGTCTCCATCCAATTTTATTTTCTTTGTAGTTCTTATAACTTCCCAAAGTTATTTAAGACAATCTCTATCTTTGTCTGTTTCTCTCAAGGAGAATTTTGGCTTCAGAGAACGGGACTGGCTTTGTCTTCTCCTGTGCTACAAACTCAGTGCCTAGCAAAGTGCTTTGAATGTAGTAGGTGCTCAATAAATACTTGTTAAATAGATGAAGAATGAATGAATAGAATGGGAATGAGGATGGCTTGAGTAATAGGGAGAAGCTTAGGTTTTATCCAGTAAGTGAGGTAGGTTGTGGACTAAATTATGCGGCTATATTTTCTAATTATGTTCCATTTCAACAGTTGACCAAGTCGCTTTCTTCTTTGCATACCAGCTAACCGAGGGTGGTTAGGTAGACGAAAAGCATTTTGTGTTGTGGGGTGGGTGGGTGAGGGGGACAAACCTGAGATTTAAAAGGAGAAGAAAATGGTGTTAGTTAATCCACAGGGTGGGTGAGAGCTCAACCGGAGTGCTCTTTGGAATCCAGGCAATTCAGTGACAGTAACACTCTCATACAAGTGTTAGGGAGGTCAGAAGAGATGAGTCTGTGACATGTGCAATCACTCTTGATGGGTTTGATTTTTCAACAGTATTTCATGGTGACATTTAAATTTGAATGGGAAATGACCTTGTTCCCAGTTCCTTTTCTAGTCAGTATGGGATTGCTCCTACAACAAATATTGGTATGTTTTGTCCAGTAGAGTTCTCCAGTATCTTAACAGATGGGGTTTACAGGTTCATTTTCTAGTAGAAATAGTGACTTCAAGATAAGAAGGAGGTTGTAGGAACTATTTATTTTTGCTTTTTAAAAGGAATACCTTCCTGGCAAATAAGCAAGTATGTAAGCAAGCAGACTCAACAGCTTTCTTGGAAGGAGTCAGCCGCTGCAGGTATGGGAGAATTCCTTTGGCCAGCCTTTGCCTCCCTGTGCATTTCTCACACTTGTGTTGGCACAGTTGGTGGAGTTTATTATTAGCGGTGTGTCCTAGAAGCTATTCATTCATGGAATATGGCCCTGGGAGAGGAATCTTTGTGTGAAATAAAAGCGTCATCGTTTTTTTTGTTTTTTGTTTTTTTTTTTCATTGGCTTGGGGGGCATCTCGCATAATGGAAGAACATCCTTAAATAGAAAGATCTCGCTTCAGGAAAATTAAAAAAAAAAAAAAAAGAAAAGAAAAGAAAAGAAAGAACAGGTGAGATGAGAGAGATGTTCTCAGTAGAATCAGCTTGGAACTGAAAAATTAAGATTTTGTTTTGTGCAATGCTAGTTGCCTTGCCAGTCTCAAGCTGGCACTGTGGGCTTGCTGTAGCTGCTGAGTCTGAGCTGAGGAGAGGAGACAGTTTGCTTCGGTTTCATTGCTCAGCCTCACCATGCGTCTCAATATGTTTTTGATTTCGTATTTTAAAAATAAGGTGAATGATCTCAAAAGGAAATCATTGCAGGCGATTTTATTCTTTGCTTTTTCTAATGGACAATTAAAAAGCAATCCTGGTCCTATTCCAGGGATTTTCTCATTTCTTAGTACAACTGTAATTTAGGCACGTATAATAGCGCAATGATATTATTAGATATTATCATGTTTATTTTATTCATGAAAATGTGTGACACACCTTATTTGTATTCTTTTTGAGGAAATGTCCTGGAATGGGTTTTTGTCCCAGCTCCTTTTTGTGCCTGTAAGAAGGTGTGTGTTGGAATTTCTGTTCCTAGGAATAAGAATAGTATTTCTTTTGGTGGGGGGGAAGCATAATGATTTTGAGCTTTGAGGAGTTTCAATGGGTTATTGTTGCTTGTTTTTTTTTTCTTTTTTTCTTTTTTTTTTAACAAGACTCCAGACCACCAAGTCCTACAATGACACACACTTCCTATCAGCAATGGCAGGTATTTATATTTCAAATGAAATAAAAATTATAGTTAATTTTCTTCTGAAAGTTTTTTTGGAATTTTGTTTTTTTAAGATCTATGAGGCAATTGGAGATACCCCAGGCTATCACAAAACTAGGGCTTGGAATCACTGCTTTAGTGATTAGCACTTTGTAAGCCTTCAAAAAATATTAAAACCAGGATAGATTGTCTAATTTCTTGTGGGTGGATTCACTTTAGTATAATGTAATGTGTTAACAAATGCTCAGAGAGGAGGTTGTGGATCCAGAAAGATGGCTTTTGTAGAAGGCTTTTATCCAAATTAATTCAAAGAATAACAGGAACAGTTGTGTATTGGGGCAGAAGGAATAAGGTGACTCAATTAAATGATAGAGAAATCTCCAGGAAAAAAATTGTCTCATGTCAACCCAATACTAACAATAAAATTCTCATTACTGAAATCGATAATCCTGTAATAAATGCATAATAACTTCAAAAAGGATTCTTTTATTAAGTATTTTTTGTATGATTGGCTATGCACCAAATATTGAAATCAAATACTGCTTTGCTTTACTTTAAGAATGATAAAATTCGGGGCGCCTGGGTGGCTCAGTGGGTTAAAGCCTCTGCCTTCGGCTCAGGTCGTGATCTCAGGGTCCTGGGATCTAGCCCCGCATCTGGCTCTCTGCTCAGCAGGGAGCCTGCTTCCTCCTCTCTCTCTCTGCCTGCCTCTCTGCTTACTTATGATCTCTCTCTGTCAAATAAATAAATAAATAAAATCTTAAAAAAAAAAATGATAAAATTCCTGGGGCGCCTGGGTGGCTCAGTGGGTTAAAGCCTCTGCCTTCGGCTCAGGTCATGATCTCAGGGTCCTGGGATCGAGCCCCACATCGGGTTCTCTGCTCATTGGGGAGCCTGCTTCCTCCTCTCTCTCTCTGCCTGCCTCTCTGCTTACTTATGATCTCTCTCTGTCAAATAAATAAATAAATAAATAAAATCTTTAAAAAAAAAAAAGAATGATAAAGTTCCCTACCATGTCTCTAAAGAGAATCTTAAATGAGAAGCTTCAAAAGAGTAATTTGCAAATAAATTCACCTGCTGAATTTGTGCCCGAAACTCCTATATTTACCTAATTCATTTTTGGCTTTTGCTTAGCTCTAGCCATGGTGACACTGTGAGAAATGAATGTCAAGTTCTCCTGGGTTGCTGGAATGTTTGCACAAGGCACCAGTGAAGAAGTAAGGGCAGTGCAAGCCCCAAGGTTTGGGTCCCACTTGGCTGGGGGGCTTGGGGATGTTGGTCTTCTGCAAAGCTTGAAGAACCAGTGTGTGGTCTGGCTAATGGGTACTGCTAGCCTGTTGCCACTTCGTGGATCTGGGAAGACCGTTCAGTCCTTCTCCACATTCGGAGCTGGGCATAGAGCACTCGGTAGCTCTGGATTGGCAGAGTTCAGGATCTGTGTACTTGATACCAAAACCGAGCTCAGCTGTATAGCTTTCTGAGATAGATTAAGGACATTTTCATAGTGTTCACCGATACACAACTGTATCTGCAGTGTGAGAAGAAATTCGAGTAACTTAGGAAACATTCTGGGAGAGAATATGCTGCCCTGAGAACACTTCTGTTTTTTTGGCAGTGGCGTCTGTTTTGAGCTTCCTGAACTTTTTTTGCCTGGTGTTCTGCAGGGAATTTTGTATTCCAGAAGATAGGCCAGGCTGCCTTCCGGGGTCTGAAACCTTTAGAAGGTGCTCGGATAGAATAGAGACTTCCCCAGCCTGTTTTCAGGAGATAATTTCCCCTCACCTGGTGGGGGGTTTGTGTCTGGTTAACATTACAGTTCTGCATATATTTTCCCTAGAACATCTCCTGTGCAATCAGGGTCATTACTTCCTTTAAAAGAGGATATCTGTCATATCTCAATAAACCTAAAAAGAGTGAGAGTGCAGGAGAGGGGTAACTGATATTATTTGGAAAAGGATCGCTCTCATTTTTACCTTTCTCTCTCTACTGGCTTGACCTAAAACACTAAGACAAGGGAGGAGACGCCGCATACCCGTAAAGATGCTGTGGTCCTGAAGGGGCCGACCTTGGTACACTTTCCCTTCGTTCATTTTTTTCTTACTGTGTTTAAATCTTTATTCATGTAATTTACCTCTTAGCTCTCTTAGTTTTGCCTTTATATTGTGTATGTTATGGTTTGCTTAGAACACAAAATATGCTTCAAACTTGAGAGAGAGCGAAGCTAGGTAAGTTCATGAACTATAATGCCTTCTTTCCTCTTCCAGAATTATGTAGAAGGGAGTGATGGAACTTTTTGGATTGGTCCCATTCTGCTTTGGGCTACTGTGGCTTTCAGTGTGCGATTCAGTTCATTGGCACCAGATGCCGAAGAAACTAAGGTCAAGGGTGTGAGCCTCACTTGGGCCAGGTGGCTGCATAATTTTCCAACAGGTTGTGTGGCGATTCAGTCTGGTCATGGTAGAAATGCTGGCCTGAAAGGGGGCTGGTGAACACGTGAGTGAGTGGGTGAAAAGCCAGCCCCATTCCCGGAAAAGCAAAGCCGGAGCCCTACTGTCATTTTTCCAACTGGAGAGAATGTACCACTTAAAATGTGAGCTTGTTACTCAACCTCCCTGTGTCTCTGTGTCCTCATCTGGAGAATGGAGATAAGATTTGCTCCCTTTCTACCTCACCAGGATCTGAGAAGATTAGATAATGGCTGTAAAGTCCTTCTACGAAGGTATGAGCATTATCATAAACAAGGAGATTAGTCAACAAATAAAGAAAAAATTTTCTTAAAGGACCTCCCAAAGTGTATTGCCTAATCATTTTTGATTCAGTATCAGCAGTTTGCAGTCTCCCCCCTTTCGAGTTTGGTTTAGCTGCAAAAAGTTAGGTGTGAATGTTTGACCTTTCTAGTTGTTTAGAAGGTGAAAACATTGTTTGATAGCGAACATTTCTATTAATCAAAACAAAGTGGGCTTTGAATCCGACACAGGTCTTATTTGAAAAAGGAGGTGAGGGCAAACGTCTCTAGGAACATATGTGCCACTGAGGAATATTTGCATGCATTTGATCTGCAAGCACGCTTCGGTGATTTTCATAGTCTACCTTGGAGTTTAAGTTGTAGCCATTGCTCAGCGGCACCGTCCTCTCTCTCCAGCTTTATTATGGCACACAGCGACAACTTCATTTTTAGCATTAAAAAAAAAAAATCCTCTTCACTTAATTCAGACAGTGACCTGCAGGCCTCATTCTGACTGAAGGAGCCATTCAGAATACTTGCAGACAAAAGCAGGGCTTTTTCCTAGCAACCAGATCAAAGCCAAATCTCCCAGAATAGCTCCCTCCCAGGTTTTCTTTGGCGCATAGGTTCACAAGGCTTGTGGTATCCAGTTCAAACTACTCTTTCAAACTGAAATGGAAAGGAAAACTCCTGAGGAATTTTCACAGACTCTGAAAACTGGCGAGCGTTGCGAGGGCACTTAATCTTGGGAGAACACGGTGGTCATTTGGAGCATCCCTAACTTTGTTATCGCCGCATCTGCATGAACATTCTGTCGGACTTCCACAGAATGAGGTCTCTGTTTCCTTTCTGCCAGTACCTAATATCAGCTATGCCCAGGAGCCGGCTGATGAAGACTTCCTGTTTGTTTTGAGTCACTGTTAGAGTGATAAATATACTTTAGCTTTCTGCTTCGAGAGGAAAGAAACCAGCTGCCCTGAACTACAGAGAAAAATGCAGAAATTCCACTGAATGGCCCTGTTATCATGGAGCTTCAAGGGCAGCATCAAAATGAAAACTATAAGCCAGGGCGAAGTAAATAATTTCCATATTAAAGCATCGTGCTGCATGCTTGGACCTAAGTTGTTTGTCTTTAATCATTTAGGCGAGCGTTGCATTTTTCACTCTTCTAAGGCCAACTCAGCGATGTTTAGAGATTTTTGAAAATGTAAACTTACGCTACAGAATAATGGTGAGCTATATAAATAAACAATTATAGTTGTGGTTTTTTGATCTGACCACAAGCTTTTAATGCCATTTTTGCATGAGCATATAATGCTTCTGGATAAATGATAATGTTTATATTGTCAGTGGCATCCACTGTTGTACTGAGTCATTTACATATGTGATTATTTGGATATAGAGTAATGCAAGAACAAAAGAACACTATAAAATGATTGAAAACAAGACCAACAGGAAATCCTTTATAGCTTAAATAGCACTTCTTAAATAAAGCCATGGAGTTTTTGTGTTTTGATTTTGTTTTTGTCCTTTTATTTTGAACAGGTTTTGGATTTAATGACTCGAATGTCCTTTGAGTGGAATTTCTTAACTCTGGTCTGAAGGGTGGTGAATTTAGGAAGCCTTATTGATCTGAATGTCTTAACCACTGCTTTCTGGCTTTTGTCTGTCTGTCTGTTTTTTAAGCTCAGTATAGACTTGACTTCCAGAAGGCATTACTTGGAAAAGACGGCAACAACTTGGTTGTGCTTGGAGTGAGAATGAATCGCTTATTTCCTCCCAATAGCTATGGTCTCTCCCAACAATTTCTAATAGTAGAGGAAGAACACACAGTCATGTACAAGAAGTCTTTTTGTCCAGGATAAAGGAAATGGCTAATAAGCAAGATGAAGTTAGGCTGACGATGGCCTTTTAGGGTAAGAATCGATAAGTCATGCAGATGTGGAGGCAACATGGTGTGCACTGGCCTTAGGACAATGTTTCTGGTCATATGTGTAAACTGAGACTTGAAATTGCACATGAATTGTTGGATATAAAGAAGGTGCCCCAACACATAGAAAGTCAGTGATCAGAACATCAAAGTCAGTGATCAGAACATCTTCCTGGGTTAGAGAATTATGGTGCTAACGGCTTTATGGAGATTGGGTCCTTATCTCATAAAAACTCATGTTAAAGAAATTCATGTGTCATTTGGCAAATCATAAAGGAGGACATGCATTTAGGAAAATTCAGCACATTAGTTAAAACAAAGCCAAATACTCTAAATATTGTTTTTGCTTTATAAATATGTGGTGTGTGGTATACGTCTCTTTTATATTCTCATCTTACTGCTGCAGAAAGAAAAGAAGAAAGTGTCTTTAAATATGATCAAGGAGAGGATGGAAAGATTAAAGTACTAAATAATATATTTTCTGTTCCAGTGGAGACCTGTATGCACATAAACCCAGAATAGCATCAGAAAATGGCTGGTATTAGGAGGAGAGGGAATGAATAGTGGAGCCAGCATTTTCTGTGGGTAAGAAAGGAGGGTATAAAACAAATTTATGAAATAAAATGTATTTGCAAAGGTAAGTGTGCCAGAGGATAATTTTCATGGGTATATCAGCCTCTGTACTTTAAAGAAGAGGTTAAAATTAAATAGAGGTTAAAATTAAATAGAAATATAGACCGTAGGGGTTTCGGTGAGGTTTTTGGTAAAATCTATTATTTAAAATAAATTGGAACCCTAGCTGGGTGGAACCTATCACTTACCAAATATAAAAAGGCGTGAAAAAACCACCCATTACCTTTTTCAGTGCTATTAAATGCCAAGTATCTGGTGCTGAAGTGAAACTATTATGGTCAGATTGATGCTGTACATGTCAAGCCACCATTCTCAGCAATGGCAATTGCTTAGATTGTTAAAACTAGCTTTGGTTGTGATAGCACATTTATGATCCAGCCTTAAGGAATTCCACCCACTAACAGCCAACATCCACTTCTTCATGATTGAACAACAACACAAAAGTCACATCTTCTATTGCACATTACATTGCCATTTACAAAATGCTTTCGTTTGCAACATCTTCCATGATCCTTGGTTGTATCTGGTTCTGGTTGTAAGCGGGAACAGTAACAGTTTGTCATCTGTCCTGGGCCCTGGTGGTAGCTTCAGCAACCTGGTCTCTTTCAAGGGGGCAGAAATATTCCTCATGCTTCCTCATAACATTTCAGGAGCATCTTCTTTATGAAACAGATGCTGCAAATCAGTATTTTTAAGTACAGTCACTTGAAGTGAAGTGAAATGAAAGTGCGTTCCAGAGCAATTAACCCTCTTTCTCCCTGAACTTATCATGATGCTACATTTCAGATCCTAGGAGCTTTAGACATTCTGTTGGAGATGGGGAAGCATAGGCCTGGGGAATAAGGATGGTGGGATATTTAGAATCATTTTGTCCTGGTAAAGGTTTGTAAAAAAATAAAGCATTTATTAGAAGAAATGGTGGTGGGGAGGGGGGAATGTTTTTCACACCTGTTTTCACACTTCTGAAGTGATAAGTCCAGCCCTTACAAAATAAAATGCAGGTTTCACACTGAACCCACCCAGGCATATTCCTATAGTGTCCTAAGCCATTTATTCTTTAAGAAGAAAGAGGCAGGGCGCCTGGCTGGCTCAGTCAGAAGAGCATGCAACTTTTGATTTTGGGGTCATGAGGTCAAGCTCCAAGTTGGGTGGTTGGGTGTAGAGATGACTTAAATAAATAGAAACTTAAAAAAAAGAAAGAGGAAACAAGGTCTTTTGTACAAATCAGCAGCTGGAAAGGTCTCCGCCATCTTTGCTTTGTACTCCTGTCTTCCAGATGTGTGAACCATCTACTATATGTCATGTATGGATCTCCAAGGCAATCTTCTAGGTTTCCAAAGACTTTGGCTCTAGATTAACAATCTTTTTCTTTGCCTTTTTTTGATCTAAATACTCAGTGAATCAGGCACCCGAGTTCATGATTTTACCAACGAGATTCCCACATCTTTTATATGTCTTAGATTCTCTTGGCCACCATTTCTATCCTTCCCCAGTCACTCACTGATATGGATATAACTATTTCTCACCATCTTTCATCTCTCAAAAGGGCTTATTGGATCATAACCTAAAGTCACAGATGTTGTAAGAGGAATTAACCTCAGAGATCATGTAGGGCAGTATCTAACAACCAACTCACAGAACTATTGATTTACCAACCCTTCAAACTCGATCTTTACCATTTTTCTCCAGCTCAGTAATTGCCAACCTCATCTGTGCTGGTGCTGGAAAGAAAAACTAGGACTCATCTTCGATTCATATTGCCTTTACCACCCTAGGTCCAATCTATCAGTAAATCTTATCTTTTTGCTATCCTGAACATGTCTAGTACTATTCCAAGAGCCACTGTGATCTCTTGTCTTGATAGAGTAAGAGCATAGAATTCATCTCCTTGCAGCTTAATTTCTCACCTTTCCCTGTGTTATTTTCTGCAGACTACTTTTTGAGACTTTGTCTATTGATTTTCTTCCTTTACAATTTTCTGGCTCTGCTCCCCTTACTAGGATGTAAGTTCCAGAAGACTGGTAGTGTTGGGTATAGAGTACACTATTTAACACATGTAATTATGCCTGGGACATTGTTGGCTTTCAAGGAATAGTTGTTGGATAAATTAATCTCCTCCTTCACAGACTAGAAATATGGGTCACAAAGACGTTACATAAATTTTCTAGGCTCACCAGATTAGTTTGAAAGTTTACAACTAGAGCATGGGTCTCTTGACCTAAGGAAAAGTGAGAAGTAAGCAGTCTTCTCAGCACTGCCAGGAAACCTTGTCATAGATTGGGTAGATCTGCCTAGGGAAAGAGACCTCATCCAAGCACCAGGAGGAACTCTAATTAGCTGATTCAGGGAAACAATAAGTAAAAATAACATTAGGTTTTCTTTCTTTCTTCCTTTCTTCCTTTCTCTCTCTCTCTTTCTTTCTTTCTTCCTTTCACTCTTTCTCTTCCTTTCTTCCTTTCTCTCTTTTCCTTCCTTCCTTCCTCCCTTCCTCCCTTCTTCCCTCCCTCCCTCCCTTCCTTCAAGGAACAAAGTTACCAGAGTTCTTGCAAGTGTAGAGTCCAAGCACCTGCTGTGAGTCTCAAAATCAAAGGTATAAAAAGTTTCTAGAAATTCACCTGGGTACTCAGTACCATGAATGTCTCTAGAAAAAGGGAGGCTACTCAGTAATGGAACTCAAGCAGATCCTAGGCTGTGCTCCAACCTACTGCCTTACCACCAAATGTTCACTGCTGTACCTACTCAAGCACAAACCTCAAACTCCATGTTTACTCAACTCATACTTAGTGAATAACATACCTATTATGGCTTTCTCCTCACAACTACAAATATTTTTGAAAAAAGAGTTTCAATGTTTTATATTAATCAGAATGCTATCAACAGCTAGTTATTGAAAATTAAATTGGATCAATCTTAGCCTAGGTTATATATAAAGGTCTTATATGACCTTATATGGTCTTATATGAAGTCCATTGACATTTTGAGGTATGTGGTCCCTCAGGGTTTCACTTGCAACTAGGATGAGTTTGCTTGAATAGAGACTCTCCTTTCATTGTTTTGTATTGTATTTATCATCTTATCTTCACTATGTGCCAAACAGTTTTCCATGGAATGATTTATCCTAATAATTAAAAGAAGGCAATATTCTTTTGGTCGATGACTGTTTTGTTTGAGTTATAAAATATAATTTGCTTTTTTCTTTGTACCATTGTTCCAGAAGAGATTCATCTTTAATTAGTTTGAGGTGTACTGTGGCTTACTTTTGTCTCCAAGTAAAAGATTTTTCTTTTTCAAAATCAGATGAATTCTGAGTTGACAAGGTAAAAAATCTGCAGTGAGATTAAAAATGCTAGGATTTTCCATTAAGAAGCTGCTTCTAGAAGTTGCTATAATTTAGCACTTCAGGTACTGAACACCTATTAAAGAAATGCTTGTTTGCATTATGCTAGATATAAATTAGGTGACTCACTTTCTCCATCTCTTTCTCTATATTTATTTTTAATCCTGTTTTAAAGCAGGAACTAGGATCAAATGAAATTAAAGCATTCTTTTGGTTTGATTGGTCTAATGTTCTTCAACAAGCTGAATATGACTCACAGCCTATCCCCCTTTCATTAGTAATTAAACTGAGACACTGAAACATTATGTAAACTCATAATAACAGATTAAATATCAAGGCTGTAGCCCACTGAACAGCACCGCTATGTTTAAACTGATACCTTCAATCCAGATAATTTTAATATTTCACCTTATAGGATTGCTACAGAAAAATAGAGTGATTAAAAACAATCATTGTATTTTATTTTCATTTTTGTTGGACAGGGGTTTTCACTTTGAATGGTAAAGAACATGAGATAAATAATGTGCCTCTAACATTTTGTTCTGTTTGTTTTTGTTGTACTGACAAATACTTCCGTAGTGTGGTGGTGGCCATTTCTTCTTATTTAAAAAAAATTTTTTTTTTCTCTTAACCAAAATAATTGCTACCCAGTACAGGAAATTTAGAAAGTAAGCATATAAAAGTAAGAAAGTAAGGAACAACTCATAATCCCACAATGAAAAAGTAACC